AAACATAGACGTCTAAAAAACAAAAAATCTTAATATTTTGTGTTATATTACAGTGCGAATATATTTAAACCTATATACTTTAACTTATCAAATATGAAAATAACAGTATTAATAAAAAATAATTTATATATATATAAAAAAAACAAGTATTAAAGAATATGTTATTATATTAATGTTTAAAGTAATGTAAGAAAATTTGTACGTTTAAATATTTAAAAATATGTAACATTTTAATGCTTTTGATAATACTGTCGAACTTTTAACTTTTTTAATTCTTGCAAATGCATGTTTTTTTTTCTCTTTTTACATTTTCTCTTCATATATGCATATTACTATTGTTTCTGTTTCCCTAATGCTTCTTTTATTTCTCTTAATATTTGTAACTTTGTAGCTCTATAATTGGCAGTTTCTTTTCTTTTTAGTCTTTTTTCTTCTAATGAAAGTGTCAAATAATTTGCTCTTGCTTCAGTTAATGAGATTTTTCTTTGCTCTATATACAAAATTAATTATAGAAAAGTATACATTTAAAAAAAAATGTGAAATTTCTTATTTTGTTCTTTATTGCTGCACTGGGACTGTATTAAAACGGGATAGTACAAAACATAGATAGTTTGGCCTGTACTATCCTTAGTAGTGCAGTCCCAGTATAGTTATAAAGAACAAACCTATAATTAAACCAACGGTACATGGTGCGTTTTTTTTCTGTTGGATTGCTTGCAAACTAGTAAATTATTAAACATATTGTACATTGCATTTCTTTACTTACTAACTGCTGTTTCATTCTCATCACTGTTGTCAGTTAATGGAGAATGTTCAGGTTCTTTAATATTTGATCCTGCTACAGATAATGGTTTTATCCAATGTTTTTTTCGAAAAATATTATCTAATACCTAAAACATAAATATATACATATATATATATATTTGTCAGACTATTACTATTGCTATACTATTGTGTCATTTTTATTACATCTAAATATATCCAATCTTTTCTATCGTTTCCACTTTGAGCATTATGGTCAACAATTTGACGATATCGTCTCTTCAATGCATCCATTTTATTATTGCATTGATTGCCTGTAAAATTATATTTTTTTTCTTTCATACACTTAGAAATGTCTATCCACATTTTTTTATGAGAACCTTTTCCCAGCATATATGATTTTTCTTTATATAAAGATATTAAAAGAAGTACAGCTTTATGTTCCCATTTTTCTATATTTACTTCTAAAATAGAAAAAGTAATTAATATATTTCTTACTTGTCTCCATATTATTATTATTTAAACTTACCAGTATTTAGCGTATCTGAAATGTTTTCAGTGCTAGAAGAAGTATCGTCGTGAACTATATTTTCAGTATTATCAGTATTATCAGAAACTATAGTACTTGTTACATTTGAACAACTGGACTTACTATTCTTTATTGATGAAGCAGAACTATGTATTGTATCTTTAGAATTATGTAACGTTTGTGCTTTCTTTAATAATGTAGTAACAAACATTATGTCTAAACAAATATAAGGTAATATAAATATACATAAAACAAAATTTTGTATATATTTACATAGCTTTAAAGCCTAGGATACTTCAAATACTTTAAGTAATAAAGCTAACAAAGTATCCTAGATTCTAGGGCTTTGTAAATACAAATCAAATAGCACAAAATAATTTTTTTTTTTGGCTTTTCTCGGTTGAGAAAGTGTTACTGCTATTAGCAGCATGCCTTCAGTTCAGATCCCTGAACTATATGACACAAAAAAATAAATTTTATAAAAAACTAGGTTAAGTTAAAATTTGCACATTCATAATTTCAGGGAAAAATATTAATTTTATTGCTATTATTAAAATGGATTAAAAATGTAACTTGTACCATTATGAGCACGATCATATACTTTTTTCCACTTTCAAAACATATTGTATATTTGTTACTTCATCAAGTAATATTAAATCAAATCAATTGGTTATTGTTCCATTCATTTTGAGAAATAGAGAGAGTTTTAGACACAGATTTCTCCATTTTTCTCCAAACTTTGTAACTATATACACAATTTTTTAAATATTAAAATTAACTTATTTTTTAATATAAAAAAATTTTTTTGACTACTTGAAAACTTATTCATTTTATCTAGCTTTTACTAGCTTTACTGGCAGCCACAGATGTCTATACTAGTACTAGATCGCTAACTTTAGGCTTTGACGTATGAAAAAACTGAGGCTGGCAGGATTTCCGGTTTCGGCCATGACACCCTACAACAAAATGGCCGCTTAACAACTGCTCAACAACTGCTCAACAACTGCTTAACAACTGCTCAACAACTGCTCAACAACTGCTCGGCATCTTTCAAGAATTTTTACAATGGCCGGTATTCATAGTCCGTTCTTATATTCAAGATCGTCTTAAGCACGAACTTATATTCGCTCTCTTCGTCAGACACAATCTATGTGTGACAAAGAGAGCGAATATAAGTCCGTGCTTAAGACAATTTTGAATATAAGAACGGACTATGAATACCGCCCAATATTATCAATTTGTATCACCACGCCGGGTATCACATGTGCATACGCACGTACAGATATACACATACACACGCATTGTCGCCATTTTGTTGTGGAGTGTCATGGCCGAAACCGGAAATCCTGCCGGCCTCAGCTCTTTTGACGAAGTTAGCGATCTAGTACTAGTATAGACATCTGTGCTGGCAGCAGAAACGAAACGCAGCACCAGTAATTTTTATTGCTACCAACAGTACTGTTTTTACTGGCAGTAACCAAACCTATTTTCGAACACACTATAGCTTGCTGGAAGAGCAGATCCAGTCATTGGTCAAGCAGGTCGCGGCACTCAACAGGCGATTGGGGCCGGCAGGAGCAGCGCCGCAGATCGCGCAGTCGCAGTAGGACCAGATCAACGTCGGAAGACGAAAGCGATCTTTGCTTTTTCCACAGACGATTTGGCAGCAAAGCGAGAAAATGTACAGAGCTATGCTCGTATAAAGATAAGAAGAAGAAAAAAGCGGAAAACTAAAAGGGCCGGAATCAATGGCGGCAGACGGCCCGGACGCGAAACCATGCTGCCTTATAACAGATAGGCAAACGAAAGTTCGGTACCTCATCGACACGGGATCGGACATAAGCGTCTACCCGCGCTCGATGGTACGCGGACGGATGTCCGGAGCAACGCAGGCCCTATTTGCGGCTAATGGTTCACTCATCCACACTTACGGATGGATCGCGCTTCAATTCAACATCGGATTAAGGCGCGCCTTCCAATGGAAGTTCATAGTGGCTGACGTCACACAGCCAATCATAGGATCCGATTTCCTCGGCTACTTCCACCTTCTGCCGGATGTAAGAAAGGGCAAGCTACTGGACGCAACAACCGGATTGGCGACAAACAGCCTCCAAAGCAGAACTGGACAAGCATTAGTCAAGACATTATTACAAGAAACAGCCTTTCCACGCCTTATTGGCTGAATTTCCGCAGCTCACTAGCCCGACCGGAAAGACGGAATCCGCGCCGCACTCAACGATGCGTTACATCGAAACTACACCGGGACCACCGGAAACGTGAAGGCCGAGGAGACTGGCGCCGGAAAAACTTAGAGAGGCGAAACAACAATTCGACTTATTGCTGCAGGAAGGCGTAATCGCGCCGTCCAAGAGCGTATGGGCCTCGCCGTTGCATATGGCACCTAAGAAAGGTGGCACGTGGCGACCATGCGGCGATTACCACAAGCTCAACAACCAAACGGTGCCGCACAGGTACCCGATTCCGCACATCGAGGATTTCACACAAGTTCTTCACGGGAAATCAATTTTCTCTACACTGGATCTGGTTAGAGCTTACAACCAGATTCCAGTAAATCTGGAAAACGTGCCTAAAACGGCGATCACCACACCGTTCGGCCTATTTGAATTTCTTAAAATGCCTTTCGGCTTAAGAAATGCAGCTCAAACGTTCCAGAGGTTTATCAATGAGGTGACACGCGGGCTTGATTTCTGCTACGCCTATATCGATGACATCCTGGTAGCATCTCACGACGAAGAAAAGCACAAAAAACATCTAACATTATTGTTCCAGAGACTCAGCAAATACGGAATGCAACTCAACCCGGCAAAATGCGTGTTCGGCAGAGAGGTCGTAGCATTTTTGGGGTACCAAGTCTCAGCAGAAGGAACACAGCCCTTACCGGAGAAGGTCGAGGCGATACAAAAATTCCCGAAGCCTACCACCGTCAAGCAGCTTCGGCAGTTCCTCGGAACCTTGAATTTTTATAGGAGATTCATTCCGGGAACAGCCATGGATCAGGCTACTTTGACGCGCTCAAAGGCAACCAAAAGGAAAAACACCAATCGTATGGAGCGCAGAAAGAGAGGCAGCATTTGAAACGTGCAGAGAGAGCCTCGCATGTGCAACGCTCTTGGCGCATCTAGATCCGGCAGCAGAACTTTCTTTGACGACCGACGTCTCGGATTTTGCAATCGGAGCAGTAATCCATCAGTATGGCAAGCACGGGCAGCAGCCGGTGGCGTTCCTCAGCAAAAAATTGACCGCCGCGCAGCAGAAATACAGCCCGTACAACCGAGAGCTCCTGGCAATTTATGTAGCCATCAAACATTTTCGGCATTGGTTGGAAGGAAGGGAGTTCACAATATACACGGACCACAAGCCGTTTGTGTACAGGGTGCTTCCGCAACATACAGATCAGTAAGTCGGGTTGCCTATTTGTTTATCGGCAGGGGCATACTTTACCGACCGTGCAGAATAAGGTTAGATCGCAAGTCCGGCAGAAAATAAGGTGTAAGATTGCTAAGAATACCACCGATAGACGGCGCCAGCGGACGGCAGCCAGATGATCGAGCAGCGCCTCGATAAAATCGATTCTGCGCGGGCGCGCTCCCGCCCCATATTTTTAATGTTAAACATGTAACCGATCTGTTTTCGAGAATGTTCCAGCGAGTCGACCTGCGAGAGAACTGAATATCGAGATTCACTCTCTAACGTCGGGTCGAGCTATTAAGTCACAAAATAAAAGAAATTATAGAGAGACTGTCGGAAGTATAAATTGAAAAAAACTTGTATTTTTCGGTCGTACTAACATTATAAAATCGCTGTTTGCTTAAATTGATTTCCAATATAAGTGTTCTATTAGAATCAGTGTTTTAACATTCATTTACAAACTGCTTTTTCATCCATAATAATATCGTTGCCGAATAAAACTCACTTAAATAAATAAGGTCGGAGAGAGGACGTAAACGTCCTACCGTTCAAAAAGTTAGTCGTTGCCGAACATTATATTTTTCATATTTTATTTAAAAATTACAGACTGTCGGTAAATTTCTTACAGCTCAGAAGTGGGATTACGGTATCCTTGAGCCGTGTCGTGTTGAAATACGTTAAAAAATCACTGCCGTGTCGTGCCGAAATTGAAAAAGGGCTTTTCAAGTCCGCAACGTGTCGAAAAAGAACTAAGATCGCTGCCGTGTCGTGTCAAAGTCGAAAACAGGCTCTTTGAGTCTAAAAGCAGAGAAAAACTATTAAAAAGACGTTGTCGGGTCGTGTCGGGCAACCAACATGCCAAAGACGAGGTCGATGCTAGATCGGGAGGATTTGGAGCAGGCTTCGTTAGAAGCGATTCAAAGGGAGGCTCGGCGGTATCAGATACCGGTAATTAACGACCGAGACCTCCTTATTGATCAAATACTCACCCACCTTGAGAGGATTGGGCCGTCGGAGAGGACGGTGGACGAACAACAGGCGGTTGGTGAGGTCCACGTCCCAGCAGCATCGTCTGCAAAGCGAACAGTCGGAGGAGAGCCGCTGACGTCGGAGATGTTCCGTCAGGCGATGTCGGACATCTCCACAACGATCTAGAAGCAGCAGCAGGAGCTTCAGCAGCAACAGCAGCAGTTCATGCTGCAGGTACTGCAGCAGCTGGCGCCGAGGGCGGGAAACGTCCAGGTGATCTAGTCAGACGGAGAGGCAGACCCAGGTAGCCCTGAAACAATTAGCAGAAATGAAGGTAATGTGTCGAACAATTTAAATTCAGCGATAAACGGCCAGACTCATATTAGTGCAAATACATTACCGGCGGGCAACGCGGTTAGTTGGCTGGCCTCTCAGATT